CCGGGGCCTTGGACCTGCCGCCGCGCCTGCTCACACAGGGGATCCAAAACGCCTCCGACCCCCCTGAAACAACGCGCTTCACAATGTCCGCACCTCTCAACATTCAGCACGGTATTTAGGAGCACACAGGTCGCTAAGAAACCCCACTGAGTGGGGCTTGATAACGTTTCCAGCAGTGTCTTTGTGTTTATACCCCATTGCTCCCCTCCCCACGGGTCTCGGGGATCTCCCACATCGGGAGGGGCCAGGCACGGATTCACACCAGCTGCCCGCGCAGCATCGCTTTGATTAACATCCAGTCTTCCTCCAAGGTGTCCCACGAGCACGCCAGCCCCTGCGGCCATCGCTTCTGCTGCTGGGTTCACTGCCCACCTAATTTCATAACGCGACGGAAGAAGAGAAACTGTTTCACAGGTCCCTGCGGAAAGGGTGGGCTGGGACCGCGCTGTCCTGCTCCTCCGTACGGCACGTGCGGCTTTCCTCAACATCCTATCGCAGGGAATGAAGCGAAGCCCCAGTTCAGGCCAAGGCACAACCACACTGCATTTGGAGGCTACCACGAAGATGCTCAACAGAGCTGAGCGGTTCCGATGAGGCTGAAACCACGGCCCTGCCCGCGCCGTCGTCCAGCAGAAGAGCGGAGCGCCCGCGCACACCCACGCGCACGGCGCAGCCCCCGGGGCAAGGATAAAAACACGCTTCAAACACGGGAGGAGGGGCGCTGCGTGTGGAGCAGCAACGCAGCTTACCACCGGAATATTTACGTCCAAATACTGGGAAGTTTTATGGCTGGCTTCCCCGCTGCTTTCTCTTTCAGGGAGGGGCTGGGGAGGGCAGCGGAGGACGGGAGCAGATCGGGGGCACTGCAGCGGGGAAGGTGTCACTGAGAGGAGCTTGCGACAGAGCATTTCCAGCAGGACCCACTGTGTTCTCCACGACAGCCCCCTTCCCATTTAAAATCATCACAGAATCACAGAATCCCAGAACGGCAGGGGTTGGAAGGGACCTCGGGAGATCATCCAGTCCAACCCCCCTGCTAAAGCAGGCTCACCCAGAGCATGTCACACAGGACTTTGACCAGGAGGGCTTTGAATATCTCCAGATAAGGAGACTCCACACCCCCCTGGGCAGCCTGTTCCAGGGCTCTGTCACCCTCAAAATAAAGTTTTTCCTCATATTCAACTGAAACCTCTTATGTTTCAGTTTGTGCCCATTGCCCCTTGTCCTGTCGCTGGGCACCACTGAGAAGAGTCTGGCTCCGTCCTCGTGACATCCATGAGAGAGAGGGGAAAAAACTAAACACACAATTAAAAAAAAATCCAGCAGCCAACAAACCAAAACCTTAAGAATTCAGTATCACCTCTACAAAAGGCTGGAAGCGCCTGTTCAAATGCCGATTCAATTATAAGTGTCCTAAATCCTCAAAGCCATTCATCTTTAAAAAGGGAAGATAACTACCAAAGAGTACAGAAGCGGAAACACCGGGTTTTTTTTTCAAAAGGGTCTGAGTCAGGTCAACTACAAGCATGAAAGGCGTCATGAAGGTCACACTAAAAAAAAAAAAAAAAAAAAAAAAAAAAAAGAGTTTTTTCCAAAAAG